TTTTCTGGATTATAGTGCTCTTGTTGTTGAAGAGAGCATGAAATGTCTCCTGGGATTTATTCAAGCCAATATGTATAGGAGAAGAGTGACAATGATATTGATTTTTTTTCAAAAACAATATTCCCATCGGAGTGTTGTGTGGTTTCCAGGTTGTATGGCCATGTTCTAGCAGCATTCTCTCCTGACATTTTGCCTGCATCTGTGGCTGGCATCTTCAGAGGATCTTCACTCAATTTAAATAGATATTGAGATGTTCCACATGGTTCCTAATCTGTGCCATAAACATGTAGCAATGCTTGCATTAAGGAATGGAATAATCATGGAAGATGGTCATATTAAAAACCTCAATTAACTTATGTATTTATTGTTTATTCTAAAGAATGTGTCATTAAAATATTGGTCTTCAAAGAAAGGATATTTTGCCATGAACAGTCAAGAAAAAGAAACATGCACTGTACCAATTCTTGGAGATTACTATCTATGTATACCTTTGGCCGAGCACAGAATTTCCTGACTTTTGAAATCAAGTTTCAGTAAATGACTTCTCTAGTTTCTTCCTTGTGTGTATAATTCATGCATGAACAAGCTGCCCAGCTTTTACCCAACTGACCTTCTACAAGGCATATAACCTTCCTTGTAATTATCACAAATCAGCCAAGAGCAAGCAGTGCAAAGGCTCTCAGCTTTTTCCAAGAAGCAATACCTTATTACTTTAGTAAAGGTTGGATTGAATTCCATGCAACCAATATGTAACTTCAGTTGGAAAACTATGAGCAATCTGTTTCTCTGCTGAATAGTTTTTAACAACCAATGTCTTATCATATCTCAACTACTCCTTTTGGCTTCACACTGAATTTTTCAGGAAAAAAAACATCTTGCTCTTGAAGGAGTGCAGAGTTCTCTATTCACAAATCTTTACTATTAGAGACAGGAAAATGCTGAGAAGAATTTTTTCATTGAGTTTCATATTTAGAGGAAAGGAGCTCATGTTGTGTTGTCATTATATACAGGTTGTAATGGTGCAATCCTGACAGCATGAATTGCCTACTGAGGGGTTACTGCTTCCTGTATGACTCCCCAAATGCAGTAGAACCCCCTTACTTACCCTGTAATCCTACTGTTCATCACAGATGGAAGAGATTATCTAATCCTAAATCTAGTTATGTAAAATTGCTACTTTTGTTACTGTTGGTAGGACACGTCATCCCTCCACATACACACTAAGGGCCTCATCATTAAGGCCAGATGAAGTGTCCCACTTCATCTGGCATCTGAGAGATAAAAGAGGAGCTGTTGGGCGCCCTCTCAGCGAGATCTTGTGCTAGCTTTACTTGTAATATCATTGAAAACATAGTGGTATAGCTCCAGGATTAAGTTTAAAGACTGACCACAAAATCCGTGAGTTGTGCCCCTACATCTATGACAATGCTATTGAGAAGCAAAATGTCTGTGGCCACATCTGTCTCAAATGTTTGCAAAAGAAAGAGTCAATAGTTTTCTCTGTGTTTGGGAAAAAAACAATTCTCAACCAATGGGGTGTCTTCACAGCGACCTTAACTGGACAATCCTTTGAGTGAGCAGTCATTGAACTGCATCCTACATTTGTTAAAATCATAAAGGGTGTGTTGAAAAAATACTTATAAATGATTTATGTTAGTAATTAACCTCTGTCTTTTTCACCGATAATCTTGAAATACACTGAATTATGTATGACTATCTCTGCACAGTGTTTATCATGTTTTAGGGAAAGTGTTGTTAGTATTAATTTATGCATTAATTTTTAATACTCTATTTATAAGTGCCATTTTAAACTTGACTGATATGTGGTGCACTATTTTCTCATTCACCGCAAAAAGCAAATCACTCTGCTCTAAGCTTGTTTGTCACCTAGAAGAAAACAAATTATTGTCTGGGAGTATTCAGGACTCAGTGTACATTATGAAGTTGCCAAAAAACCCTTTGCTAATGGGAATGGGTTATGGCTGTTATATAGGCATTATAAAATGGGTGTTTTGACATAGTTTCCTTGTGTTTGCCGTGTGAATTCTTTGACATAATATAAAAATTATACCAGCCTAAATATTTCAGATATCCTGCTCATCAAAGTAGAAGTTTCTGTTATGGAGAGAGAGATACATCCCAGTACCTGGATTGTCCTATCCTCTACTTCTCCCTAACATACATTCGCATATCATGAATTAATCCTAAGAAATAAGTAATAAAGAAGGGAAATTCCACATGGACTTTTAAACTCATTTAAAAGAAAAGTGTGGATTCGACCGCTAATAAATGAATCACCCAAACATTCTTAGCTCCCATTCTTCCTGTCTCTTTAATCACATTATGAGAAATTTTCTTTATGAAGTGAATGTCTGATGAATCACCTACAGCTGATATCTATACATTTGAGAGGCTCAGATCTATAGACATCATTTCTGGGCAAAGAAAATTAGATAATTACGCTAATCTTTGCAAGCACTTTTCTTGACACTTTTGCTCCTGCTTCTTGGCAGGGGGTTGGACTCAATGGCTCAAGATGTCTCTTCCAACTCTGTGATTCTATGACTCTACTCCAATTGATCCCCTTCACACATGACCACTGATTTTCTTTGACCTTGACTCTGAATTTAACTGCCCGGAATCCCTGTTCTTAGCCCCCCCCCCCCCACACACACACACACACAGATGAATAAAATTCCACATTATTTGCTTTGCACTGGAACATATGGCAGTGCAGACTCAGATAACCCATTTCAAAGTAGATATTGTGGGATTATCTGCTTTGATATTCTGGGTTATATGGCTGTGTGGAAGAACCCTTAGATGCCAACAGCCTGAAATTTGGACAACTTTTTTACTCTGTGTTTACTTTTCTTTTTATTTGAATTACCTGCTCTCTGCTTGGATCCATACTATTGGACATTGTCTTCTGCTAAAGCACTTCTGGCCTTTACTTATCTAGTTTGATGATTAGACTCTCTTATAAGAAAAATAAAAGGGTTTCTTGTTCCAGCTCAGCCTTGCTTGAGAAATGGGATCTTCTGAGCATCCTGAAAAACTCGGTTATTCTCTGAGGTGGATGCTTGGTCTGTTCATCAGTTCTTACTTGTTCTTTGTTCTCAATTCTTTGGCTCACCTCATTCTCCTGTCCACTGCCCAGTTCATGTCTTGATTCTCCTGTAGCATCTTTCTGCCATTGCTTTGTTCAGCTTCCCCTTTTCAGATAAGCATAGCAACCCTCTCCTCATTCATCATCAAAGTCTTGCCCTCTCAAAATATATTGGCAATTTTTGGATATGCCTGTTAATATTAGTTCTTGTAAAGCTAAAGGATGCTGTAACTATAGTTGAGGTGCGGTAGATTGTGCTGTTTTCACTGAACCCAATGCATCTTTTAGATTAACACTTCCATTTATGCAGTTAAATGACTCATTGAAACAGAATCAACTAATAGTCAGTTATAGCACATTATAGAAATCTGTCATTTTGAAACATGGGAGAGGAGAGAAGGAAAGGGGAAATAATATTCTCATTAGGCCAGGTTGTAGTATAATACAAGGCAACATCATCCCCTTCATCCCTGAACTGTAGCGAACTTCAAAATTGTGCAGAAAAAAGACCAGGGCCTACTGACAGATTTCTGCGTACTTTATGATGGATGAACAAAGGTCTCTGACTCTCTTGTTCTCACTAGTTTAGTGATAATGACAACGAAATGACACCCCCTTATCAAGGTGTAATATTGAAATGATACCCAGGACTGGAAGCAGTAGTGGCTAGTGGTTTTTATGATAATGGTTTAGTGAATTCTGTCCACTCTTTAGAAGCATGAACCCTATCTCCAAAATTCAGCATCTTGGGTAGGTCCTTTAAAGATCAGATGAAAACCCAGAGCAGATCTACCACCTGAATCGAAGCAGTCTGTATGTTGCTCAGTTTTAGCCATCACAACTGGCCATTGAAACTCACTGAGTGACTTGGGCAAGTTACAGACATTCAACCTCTGAGGAAGAAAATGGTAAACCTCCTCAGAACAAACCTTGCCAAGAAACCCCCATGATAGGTATGTTTCAGGTAAATCAGAAACAACTTGAAGGTACACAACACATACACATTTTCATGTGCCTCTGAGTAATGGATCTTGCAGTTCTAAAGCAGGGTGTGTGGGAATCATGAAAGCCTGAAAGATGTTGCTCCTGCCCTCCATGGCTCTCTATTTCAAAAGAGGTGGGGGTTCCAGAAAAGAGCAGTGTGGCACAAAACAGAATGCCAATCCTTTTAATCTGTTTGAATGTGTTGGAAATGCTGAGTTACTTAGTAAGCTAACAGATCATGTTCGCGTTTTACTATTAATAATTAATGCTTCACACTTTCAAAACATGAAAAGAGTATATGTTAACAATAATATTTTAGTTCCTGACAACATTTTCAAAAACCAGACACTTTTCTTTATCATTCCTCATTTAGAAAACCATTTGTGTGAACTTAGGCATCCAAGACTAAGTCAGAAGCTCAATTTGACAGTTCTCCTGCTCAGGGTTTATTTTGAGCGAGGGTTGGTTGGTGCTGTGATTGGCATATCTTACTTCAAGGTGGGAATAAATGGCTAAATAATTTGTGCAAAAAGTATCCCTGGTCATATGCAGAGTGCATTTCTGCTCCAGATAGAAGCAATAATTATCCTTAACAAAACTGAGATAAAAAAGGAAGTTGCAGAATCTATTTTCCAAATATCACTTAGCCACACCGTCATCTATATTCCTATTTTCAAAATTTAGAACTGTTTTCGCTTGAGCTTTATCCTGTGCAGCCATGTATTTTTGTGCATGTTTCCATTACATTTGATGAGCAGTTTAGCTTTTCTCTTTTTTGAAAACACACACACATTTATGAAATTTTGATATGAAATTGCTTGCAGTATGCTTTGCTGCTATCACCAAAGCTGCAATGTGTTAGTATGTAAAACCTTTTTTAAAATTCAATTTCTCACAATATTTGCAGATATAGATGAGTGCAATGGACCAGTAACCATTGCCTGTGGAGATCATGCGAAATGTGAAAATGTGGATGGAGGATATAACTGCTCCTGTAAGGAAGGTTATCAACCATCCACAGGACATTTACAGTTTAAGCCAAATGATGGCACTTCCTGCCAAGGTAAATGATATTACGGAGGTTTATGTGTTATTATAGAACTGTATCTTCTGTGAAGCCCACCAGCAACTCTTTATCTTCAGTTAGATTAATCAGCTGGATATGAAAAAGTAGCAAGACATGAATATCTACCAGTAGTTTAAAAGAGAGAGAGAGAGAGAAGACTGATATGTGTGTATGCTGCAACAGTAACCTGTTACTGTTACAGAATATAGATCTGTTTCTCTCCTTTTCTATGCCAGCCATGCACATTAACTCTTAAGAAGCCAAATACATTGTAAGGATTACTACAGGCTGCTATTAGCAATAAAGCTTTATCTACTGGTACCCACATGACGAGTTACTACTGAATAAAGGCAGGGCACATTTGATCTTTTAGAAGATGAACATGACCACTTTATATAATGAAATTGTATCATTTTGTCTATTACCATAAACCTGTCTTTATTACAATTCAGATGCATTTTCAAACCAAACTATTGAAGTACACCCATCTGCTTTTAAAATATTTTTTGATTCAATTGTGCTTTAATATTAAATTTTGTAAAATTACAAAATAGAGCAAGAGTGCACTTTCCAACAAAATTATGGTCATTACACATTTTTTTAAAATCTGTACCCCTTTTTAGTGATGTTATGAGTCACTTTGAGAGTCAGTTTTAGAAGAAGGACTGAAAATCAATGTGTCAGTCAAGTGTATTTTTATTTGATGGTCATGTATAAATATGGGAGGGGGAGTCATAGGGAGGAGGGAGCAAGCTTGATTTCTGCTGCCCTGGAGACTAGGACACAGAACAATGGCTTCAAACTGCAGGAAAGGAGATTCCACCTGAACATCAGGAAGAGCTTTCTGACTGTGAGAGCTGTTCAGCGGTGGAACTCTCTGCCCAGGAGTGTGGTGGAGGCTCCTTCTTTGGAGGCTTTTAAGCAGAGGCTGGATGGCCATCTGTCGGGGGTGCTTTGAATGTGATTTTCCTGCTTCTTGGCAGGAGGTTGGACTGGATGGCCCATGAGGTTTCTTCCAACTCACTGATTCTATGATTTAACTATTGAATGTATTAGGACTGAATTAAATATGTCATTAAATATGTTATTGGATCACATCAAGCACCAACATAAGTGGGATAGGTTTCCTCACACCCTCATGCCACATAACTGGTTGGCATTATGGGATAGGTCTCCTCACACTCTCATGCCACATAACTGGCTGGCGCTGATGGGACACAAAATTGGCACCATCATGAGAGTTGTAGTTTTACTAGGTCTTTAACCTTCTCTGCCAAAGAGAGCTGGTACCTCACCAAACTACAAATCCTATGATTCCATAACAATAAAAATGAAAAACTGTCCTAAATTGAAAATGATTTGATCAATCGCTATATATTTAATTATTGTGTTACCACTAATTTAACAACACTCCTTTTTAATTCCAACAGAAATTCCAACAGTAAACTGTGAATTGAATAATGACTGTATAGCTGAAAATATTAACAGAACCTTAGCTAAAGTAAGTAAGACATGTGTGAGCTGCAAATTTCTTAATGTTTATTTTCTCCTGAAATGGAATGTATAGACTTCTGGTACTATAGTGATACAAATTTATGACTGTTAGAGTTCATTAAGTACTTCTTTGTTCTTTTTTTAATATCAACTTTCCAAAATTTGTAGGTTTCTACACAAACTGAATGGAAAGAACTTGAAACTGAAATATAGAAGGATTAACTTGTCCAGACACAGTTTTTTAACCTTTAGCTCTCAAAAATCTGGCTTTGTCTACTGAAATAGTCAGCCAAAAGTATTTCATATGATGAAATAAACAGACCCATGAAACCTGTATTGACTGTGGCATACAAATCAAAATAGATGCAGGTAATTTTATCCACATAGTGCTGCATAAATTGCCTCAAGTCATCAAATGATCTACACTTTTTTCTTGTGAGTTATAATGTAACACAGCTCTGATGATAAAAATAATTTCATTAGATGACTCTGTTGAGATGCAATGATTGCAAAGAATAGTATTTTTTTTCACAGCAATCACAACTGTGAAATGGGCTTGTTGATGGCCAAAGTACAAGTTTAGTCAGTGCAATTTTTCCACTTTTTTTCTTTTCATGTCAGGAGCAACTTGAGAAACTGCAAGTTGCTTCTGATGTGAGAAAATCGGCTGTCTGCATGGATGTTGCCCAAAGGACGCCTGGATGTTTGAAGTTTTACCATCCTTGTGGGAGGTTTCTCTCATGTCCCTGCATGGGAAGTTGGAGCTTACAGAGGGAGCTCAACCTGCTCTACCCAGATTCGAACCACTGACCTGTCAGTCAGCAGGCCTACTGGCACAAGAGTTTAACCCATTGCACCACTTATTTTCCACTAACATCACTCTAAACCCAGGAGCCCCCGGTGGTGCAGTGGGTTAAACCCCTATGCCGGCAGGACTGAAGACCGACAGGTTGCAGGTTCAAATCCGGGGAGAGGCGGATGAGCTCCCTCTATCGACTCCAGCTCCTCAGGCGGGGACATGAGAGAAGCCTCCCACAAGGATGATAAAAACATCAAATCATCCGGGCGTCCCCTGGGCAACGTCCTTGCAGACAGCCAATTCTCTCACACCAGAAGTGACTTGCAGTTTCTCAAGTCACTCCTGACACGACAAAAAAGAAACTCTAAACCCAGCCACTTGTATTACTGCAACAAACTCCCTAGAAAACTAATGAGACAGTTTAGCTCTCCTCATTTTGATTCTGTTAAGTGGCAGTTTGTGTCTTTTCCAGAGATCAACTACATTTTAATAGAGTTACTTTTCAACATAACAGAAAAATAACCAAGAGTCATAAAAAGCCATGTAGATCCATGATGTGTCGAGATGTCTTAGTTGGCCTCCTATCCCCATCGATGTATTGAGTCCCATTACATCCAGATAACACCAGGTAGTGATCTTTGCATGACAGTTTAACTATATAAAGTTCTGTTGCACCAGATCATCATCAGCTCATCTAGCATAAATAACTAGGTCTAGAATATGGTCTGGATTTAGATACAAATAGGAATGTATCGGGGGTGTGGGGATCTGTAACCTCACGTCCTGCACCATCATGGCTTCTCCCCACCTCATCACATGGGGGAAGCCTTTTAAGCCAGCTCAACCCATCTTTCCTCCCATCATGCACCACCAGTAATTTTTCCATGGCGGTATGGTTGTTGTGGCAGTTCAGACAAGGACCCACCCCAAAAGTACTTTTTCAGGGTTTGATGACCGTTGGTGGACTCTGTGGCTAAAGTAGAAAAAAACCATCACTGCTGCTAAAGTTGGATGCATGTTAAGAGGTCCTTAGTTTGGAATGTAGGTAAGGGGTGGCTTGAGATATTCTCAGTATTATAACCTTTTGATAGATGTTATGAAATACCTTAACAAACCCAACAAGAGAACTCTAGCTTTTCTCTTGGCTAGTTCAGGATGGAAGACTGTGGAAAGAGGGAAGCAGTAATGGAATGAAACCCCAGTTCCATCCCAAACACCCATATGTAGACATACCCACTCAAAATCATGCAAGATAATGGGGCCCCTGATTAACGAATGGAATCACAATGGCTTCTGCAACTCTGCTTCTTGTTCTCCTTCTCAAACATCATATTTACTTAAATCTAATGCTCACTTTTTTGGCTAAACGACCTTGCCAAAATTGGGGTGCACATTAGATTTGCATTGTACGGTAATCTTAGTGCTGAGCCAAAGCAAAAAGGGAAACTGCTTCAGGAGGTGCATCCAAAGCTCTTATTTAATTAAATGGCCAGAGCTCAATGCTATGCAATCGTAGTTTGGTGAGGCATCAGCATTCTTTGGCAGAGAAGGCTCAAAACCTTGTCAAACTACAGCCCCCAGGATTTCATATCATTGAACCAAGGAAATTAAAGTGAATTCATTCTACAGCATAGATGCACCCCAAGACGTTCCTTTTAATCACTGGAAGGATTGATGTTCTAACACAATTGTTTATAACAAAAGAATTCTAAGCAGGCAACAGCAGTAATGTGCATCTTTTTCGACCAGTTACAAAGAGGACACTTTTTGCAGCTGTACATTCCATTCAACAGCAAATACTTTTTTTTCTTTTGGTTTCAGAGTTTTGAAAATCAAATGTACAATTAGATTTGATGATGCATTAGACTTGAGTAAATATGGATACTACCTTTTGCTGCCCAGAGAATGCATATCAACAATGCTGGAAGAGATTTACCAAATTTCTGGTCTCAGCCAAGATATTGTGAGACTCCATGTACACTGCCATAGAACGTAGTTCCATGTTGCAATGTAATTGCATTGAACTGCATTATATGAGTCTACACTGCCATATAATACATTTCAATGCAGTTAAACTACATTATATGGCAGTGTAGATGGTTAATCCTCCCAACAGACCCTAGAATGAGATACTACACCTTGCCCAAGGCTATCCGCAGGCTTTGGTTAGGCTGGGACTCAAAAACAGGCCCGTCCAGTTCCTACAATTTATCTGCCTGAGTGTGCTGGCTCTTTAAAGCTAAACAAAAGTGGGGGGTTTATCTGGCTTTCACTTACTAATTTTGATAAGTGATTAAGAATCTCCATTTGAGTTAGAGCATTACAAATGCCATGCATAATGATTCAAACTTTCTTTCAGATTAGAAAAATAAAAGACCCCCTGGCTGTCTTACAAGAAATCAATCAGAACACTGCAGGACAAATTTCACCAGTCGACGTGATTTCCTACATAGAAGCGTTATCTGTATCTTGTCCCTTGCTAAGTACTATGAATAACACGATTTCTGACATTGAAAGGCCCCATAATCTAAATCTGACTCTTAATGTGAGTAACATTAGCCTTGGAATGTATTTATTTCTAACCACTTATAAAATATGGAACACAACCATTAAATATATTTTCCATTGATCTAACAGGAATATGTTAACACTGTGAACAATTTTGTTCAGAAAGACAAAATTACAGTGTGGGAAGCTATCCCAGCAGATAACAGAAGAAAAAGTCTCACTAAACTGATCCATGCTGTGGAACAGACAACAGCTGCCATGTCACAGAACTTCCGAAGGATGACAGAAGTGGAAATTAATGCTAGCGATTTGGGTATGCAAAAGAAAGAAATATTGCAAATTGTTTGTTGACGTTTTTCCTTCCAGGACAAGTCGATCAGAACTTTGTTTGGTGCTTACATATGCATAAGCTGTACAGTTACGGTGCTATGCACTGAATCCCAACATGACACTCTCCCCATCTCCAGTTACTGAGCAGCAGCTGCTGCAGTCAACAGGAATCTACTCCCCTGCTGCTCAGGAAGCAGCTGGCTGCTTTTTCCACCGCCTTTAGTGAGCGATCCTCGCTGTGACAGGCAGAAACAGAGTCTGTGTTGCAATTCCCCCATAGGCTGGACATGGTTCTCACAAAGTGCGCTTTAGAAATGGCAGCCAGCTGCTTCCTGAGCATTAGAGGAATGGATCCCTATTGATCACAGTGGCTGCTGTCTGGTCAGTGGCAACTGAAAGACTTTCATACATAACTGTCATGAGTGTGTAACTCCAAGTTATAGATTCATACGTGTGATATACACCATTATTAATATCAGAAGCCATGTTGTGTGAATCCTGAGTAATGCTGTCTATATTTTGGTGAGTGAAAACAGAGGACTAGACAAAAGCCCTTTGCTAATTATCAATTATACTTACATTTCACTAAACACAATTAAAGATTTGATATTGACTTGTAAGGATATCTGCTATTTTACCCCTCTTCAGGTATTCTGAATATAGAGAGAATTGTGTGCATGAACACTATGTCAATTATTCAATTTTACATGAGATGATGAAAAACTTGGTGACTTATATTCCTAATTTCTGGTTGTTAAGTTAAAAGGGTAAAGGTTTTCCCCTGACATTAAGTCTAGTCATGACTGACTCTGGGGGGTGGTGTTCATTTCCATTTCTAAGCCAAAGAGCTGGTGTTGTCCATAGATACTTCCAAGGTCACATGGCCAGCATGACTGCATGGAGCGTCATTACCTTCCCACTGAAGCAGTATCTATTTATCTACTCACATGAGCATGTTTTTGAACTGCTAGGTTGGCAGAAGCTGGGGCTAGCATCAGGAGCTCACCCTGTTCCCCAGATTTGAACCACCTATCTTTCAGTCAGCAAGTTCAGCTGCTCAGCGGTTTAACCCACTGCTTCACCAGGGAGTGCCTTGTACAGAAAACAAGTGTTGAAATATATAACTTCTATCAAAATAGGTATTTCAGTTGCCTTTCTTGATCTGTTTAAAAGGCAGACAACTGAAATGAGATCTTGGGAGATGTACAAAATACACAAGTTACCTCAAGGTGTCTTTTCCTATAGGAATTTGCAAAGTTTGCTTTAGCATTCTTGCCCATACCCAGCTCTAGCCTTTCTCCAGTGTGACCCCTATTAATTATTTTATATAAATTAAAAATCTTTTCTCCTCACATAAGCTGAAAAAGGTTTAGATAGCTGTCCTAAGTGACAAATCAACATAGTTAAGAAATAAATAAGCATATATATATATAGATAGATAGAGAGAGAGAGAGAGAGAGAGAGACTAGAAAAAGTCGATGTCCATTAAATCATTATTACATAAAACATGTGAATACACAATAATATAAAATTACAGTAAACACAAACACAGTGACAATGGGTGGGCTACATGTAATGGGTAAAAGAAGAACTAATTAAAACTGGTTAAAAACTCGGATGAGATAAAAGAGAAACAAATTATTTGCAGAGGAGGGCTCATTATAGTGTGGGTTGTGGAATCAAGCTTTCCCACGAGGGGGGGGGATGTATTCTCCAGTGACAGAACATTGCAAATGAGCGATAATGTGGGATTGAATACCTATTCACCAAAGGCACAACAGAAGAGCCAGGTTTTGAGGTTCTTTTTAAAGGTTTCTAGGGTAGGGGCTTTCCTAATTTCTCCAGGTGGTGAATTCCAGAGTCGGGGAGCCACTGAGGAAAAATCTCTCTCCCTTGTGCTTACAAGGCGAGCTTGTGAGACTGGCAGGGGTGAAAGAAGGTCCTCCCCAGAAGATCAGAGGGCCTGAGATGGTACATGGAGGGAGATACGGTCATGAAGGTAGGGGGGTCCCAAACCGTTTAGGGCTTTATAGGTGATAGCCTGCACCTTGAATTGGGACCGGAAAATAAATGGCAGCCAGTGGAGCTCCTTAAACAGGGGGGTTGACCGCTCCCTGGAAGTCATCCCAGGCTGCCAAACGTTGGACAAGTTGTAATTTCCGGGCCGTCTTCAAGGGTAGCTCCACGTAGAGTGCATTACAGTAATCCAGTCTAGAGGTAACTAGGGCATGGACCACCATGGTCAAGTCAGACTTTACGAGGTAAGGCTACAGTTGGCGCACAAGTTTTAATTGCGTGAAGGCCCTCTCGGCCACCGCCAACACCTGCGCATCCAGCGTCAGTGCTGAATCCAGGAGGACTCTCAAACTGCGGACCTGTGATTTCAGGGGTAGTGCAACCCCATCCAGCACAGGTTGCCACCCAATACCCCGGTCAGCCGAGCAACTGACCTGGAGGACTTCTGTCTTGTCAGGATTGGTCCTCAGCTTGTTCTTCCTCATCCAAGTCGCCACAGCAGGCATGCACTGGTCTGTATCCTCGGGGCTTCCTTGGAGTCTGGTGGAAAAATGTAATGGAGTTGGGTGTCATCTGCGTAGAGATGGCACCGTACTCCAAAACTCTGGATGACCTCTCCCAGTGGTTTCATGTAAATGTTAAATGGCATGGGGGACAGAATAGAACCTTGCGGGACCCCACAGGTCAATGGCCAGGGGTCCGAGCAGGAGTCCCCCAGCTTCACCAACTGGGAACGACCCTCCAGGAAGGACCGGAGCCACAGTAAAACTGTGCCCCCGAGTCCCATCCCAGCGAGTCTCCCCAGCAGGATACCATGGTCGATGGTATCGAAAGCCGCTGAGATGTCCAAGAGAACCAGCAGGGTCACAGTTCCCCGGTCCAGTTCCCTGCGGAGGTCATCCACCAAGGCAACCAAAGCCGTCTCGGTAATGTGCCCAGGCCTAAAGCCAGACTGCAAACAATCCAGAAAATCAGTGTCATCGAGGAATCCCTGGAGCTGAGAGGCAACCACCCGCTCCAGAACCTTGCCCAGAAAAGGGAGGCTGGAAATTGGTCTGTAGTTGTTACATACCGTCAGGTCAAGGGAGGTTTTCTTTAGTAGAGGTTTTACCACCACCTGCTTGAGGCAAGACGGGAATTTTCCCTGACCCAATGAAGCATTTATTATTGCAACAAACCATTCCAACAACCCTTCTCTGGCCAGTTTAACTAGTCAGGATGGGCAAGGATCCAGAGCGCATGTGGTTGATCTCACCGTCCCAAGGATCCCCTCCACGTCATCAGGTTGAACAAGATGGAAATAATCCCATAAGATCGAACAGGCACCTCAGTTACCTCATCTGGCACTGCATTTAAGCTGGAGTCCAGCTCAAGACGTATCTGAGCAACTTTGCCTGCAAAATGGTGCATGAAATTGCTGAACCTAGTCGCCGAGTTGTCAGGAAGCTCTCCATCCTCAGGAGGCCGGAGGAGCTCCCCAACAACCCGGAACAACTCCGATGGTCTATTTGCTACAGACGCTATGCAAGCAGTCAAGAATACTTTCCTGGCTGCTCGCAGAGCCACGGAGTAAGCTCTAATAGCGGCTTTAGCCCATGCTTGGTCAGATACGTTTCGAGATTCCTCCAGATGCCCTCTAGACCCCTCCTCCAGTGCTTTATCCCAGCCAGCTCCTTGGTGAACCAAGGAGTTGGTGTGACTCTGCGCAAGGAAAGGGGACGTTCGGGAGCGATCGTGTCAATAGCCCTTGCCATCTCACTATTATAGTGATCAACGAGGGTGTCAACAGGATTGTCAGTCTCCAAGACAGGAAGATCCCCAAAAGACCTCAGGAGTCCTTCTGGATCCATAAGCCTCCTGGGGCAGACCATCTTAATGGGTCCACCACCCCTGTGGAGGTTAGCGGGTGCGGTTAATCTTAAACTGATCAGATAATGGTTAGACCATGACAATGGAAGAATGTTTTGCTCTTCCACTCTGACTGTTCCACCGACCACAACAAAAACAAGGCCCAACGTGTGTCCCGCCTGATTTATTTATTTATTATTTATTTATTTCTCGCATTTCTATCCCATCCTTCTCAACCCCCAAAGGGGGACTCAGGACGGCTTACAATGAGCCCCATTCCAAAGCCATTACATAACAAATTACAAAATTAAAACCACAATTAGACATAAAATAATAATCAACAATACATAAGACATCATTGAAACAGTAGAACAGTCTCAGCAGCCATATTGTCACTCCAGTCATATTCCCTTAAAGTGATGTGTGGGACCAGTTATTACTTGAGTCAGCCCCATGGTCATCATGGCAACCATGAAGTCCTGAGCTGCACCTGTCAATGTGGTCTCGGCGTGGATGTTGAAGTCTCCCAAAACTAAAAGTTGTTGGGAGGCCAGGGACAAATTCGAGACCACTTCTGCTAGCACAGGCAGGGAAACTGCCGGGTTGCGGGGTGGACGATACACCAGCAGAATCCCCAGGCTGTCTCGGGTTCCCACCTTCAAGTAGACACACTCAAACCTCGGAGACTGTGGAACGGAACATTTGATCAAGGGGATGGTCTGCCGGAAGATCACCATGACCCCTCCTCCCCGACCCCTGGACCTGGCCTGCTGATGCACCCCGAAGCCTGGAGGACACAGCTGGGTAAGGTTTACCCCTCCCCCAACTCATCCAACCAGGTCTCGGTGATGCATGCCAGATCCGCCGCCTCATCCAGGATCAAGTCCTGAATGCCAGATGTTTTGCCATTGACGGATCTGGCATTCAGAAGCAGGAACTTGAGACCAGGGGGTCTGTCATGGAGACTAGCACACCTATCCTTCTCCAGGGTCGCAAGAACTCTGTTGCACTTCTCCCTGGGTTTTAGAGAGTGATCGTTCTTCCTCCTGCCCCACACCACCTCAATGGTACCCAACTCATTTGAACCCCCACCCTCCTGAAGGCTGGACTGGTAAGAGTTATATTCTGAGGGAATTAGTCAACTCTTCAGGACTGGGGAACTACCTAATTAGTTTGTTTTACTAAAGAAGGAGGAGATCTCCACAGGAGATAGAGAAAAGGAGGCATCTGACATAGAGAGGGGGCTGAACAATGGGAGTGTGAATGGGTGGGATTGGCAATTGGAAGAGGTGGTATGGGAGCTAGGGAAGGAGTCTCAGAATGGGACTCTAACTGGGAGGGAAGGGTCAAAGCGGTGATGCATGCCAGATCAACCGCCTCATCCAGGATCAAGTCCTGAATGACAGATATTTTGCCATTGACGGATCTGGCATTCAGAAGCTGGATCTTGAGTCCGGGGGTCTGTCATTACAATAAACACAATCACAACAATGACAACCTCTTCATGTGGCCTTTTTGGGCTGTGCAGTTGCATGCCCATGGCACCCCGTGCTCCCTCCCTCCTCCCCTTATTACATGGTGGAGACAGGACAGGGTGCTTCCCTCCCCCGCCATCAGATGCCCTTTCTGTCCTGATGTCTTTTCTGCCATCACACAGCAAAAAGGGGGAGCCCCCGGTGGCGCAGTGGGTTAAACCCCTGTGCCGGCAGGACTGAAGACCGACAGGTCGCAGGTTCAAATCCGGGGAGAGGCGGATGAGCTCCCTCTATCAGCTCCAGCTCCTCATGTGGGGACATGAGAGAAGCCTCCCACAAGGATGATAAAAACATCAAATCATCCAGGCGTCCCCTGGGCAGCGTCCTTGCAGTCGGCCAATTCTCTCACACCAGAAGCGACTTGCAGTCACTCCTGACACGACAAAAAAAAAAACAGCAAAAAGGGGAGGAATGTACAGGTAGCTCCATTGGAGCTATGCTAAAAAACACATTCCTCCCCATAGTGGAGGAGAAAGCACCTTTTAGCACTTCCTCTCCACTTTGGGAGGAATTATGATGTCATCTGATGGCACACAGCAGGCCCCATCCAAGCTGCACATAAAAGCAAAAAACTGGGGCCCCATGTGAAGAGGTCCTGAGAGTCTCCTACAGGAGACTGGTCACTGACTGACAGTAATTATAAATTAAACATTATAGTGTGCATCTAAACCTTTATTTCCTAAATCCAAAGGTGAATCTATATTGGTCACTAAATTCAGGGCCAGTCTCGAGCTTAAATGCACCAGTTTGGCCCTGTTGGCTGCCAGAGACATCCTGTCAAACCTGCTGCAGTGTCACATTGCTATCCACATAGTCTAGCTGGGCCAAGACCCATCCCCTGTATCACTATCACCTCTTCTAGTCAACCATGGAGCTCCATGGCCAACTGGAAACAATGGTGGTAGAAATACGGACATGAGCCATTCCCTTTCCCTGTGCGGACTTGTTAAAGGCAATGGTGCCGGTGTTCGACCTAGATAGTGGATTTGAGCCAGTTCTGTTGTCCAGAGTGCCCCAAAGCCATAGAATACTCTAGAGTTTCAGCAAAGTGGATTCAAAGTGTGTCCAGGTTTTCTTGTAATGTTGACTTGCCCCCACTCACGTATTCCATAGCTGTACTACACTAGCCCATACTCCAGGAAGGTTGTGTGTGGAGTGTGGAATGATCACCTTGAGGGTAGAAAATGTAGATATTTTCCTGGTACATGATACATTAGAAGCAATGCATGCACATTGGGAATAATGTAACACAAGAACAGTAAGCATTGCTTAGGTAATTCTTCGTCTTCTATGCCATCACATAAAATCTATACTTTATGGAAAGAGAAATGAAGCATAGTGATAGCAAGTTTGTTTATGCCATTCCAGTTAGAGTGTTTTATCAGTTAGCCTACAAAACAGAACTATCTTCTTTCCTTACCAAATTTGTTTTTAGTACTGCCTCCCCTAGGCACCATTCAAACTCTCCAGGTTAAGAGGATTTATTCTTTAGATTTTGAATATTTTATGCAGAGAACCAGTCCATGGAAAATCTCTGATATTTATCTGTGCATTAAGAGAACTATCCAGTTAAATAATTCCAAACCATTAATCAAAATGTTCGTTTTGCTTTCAACTAAATGTTTGATTAACTTTTCCCATTTTGTTATGGATTATTACAGCAGTACTCTAAATGGCTAAAACAAACGGCTAAAGAATTTTGCATCCTGGTGGGATTGTTAAGGGTAATATTGGTTGATTTCTTTCTTTCTTTTTTTTTACAACAAATACCATTTTAGCATGATGCAGTGGAGTTCCATATCTTTGGGTAATAATGAAAAGAATATTCACCTTGCACAAATACACCCCATTGGAGATATATATACATACATACATATATACATACATATATATATATATACACACTCATATATGGAAAATAAATACAACTCAGTGATATTTTCCTCCATGCTTTTAAAGACTGCAATTGGTATTCCCTTTCATAAATGTGCTCTCAATAAAGTAGAAACTCTTTCAAAAGTAGCTTCCATTATTCTTAACAGAGCTTCATTTAATGCAAAGCAAATTAAAGGCTGCATTTTTCCAAGGAAAGAATAAAATACAAAAGAGAACTAAGATGTATGCCTACTATGAATAAGAAAGTCCTGGGATTTAACACATGCATGTATCACATTAATGGAGTTGGAGGAGGGTTTTTTCCCTTGAAATATTTGGCAAAACTCTGTGCTTTTATAATCTGAAATAATTGTTCAGCCCAGTGGTAACCTTTATGGCAGAGCTATGAGTGAAAGGAGGCTGAGATGTAACTCATTTCCAAGGGATTTGTTTCCCTTTTTTTTCTTTTGCAGCTCTGAAGGCTTTTGCTTTTGAAATGAAACATGCAGACCTCATTCACCAAGGTGTGCGCATGGGAGGAGATGCCATAATGGTCTCTGCAAAGAAAAAGGAAACATCTACTTCCAAAGGTTAGGAAGAGGACAAGGGCTTGCATCAGCAGAATGAAGAAGCTGAGCCAAATCTGGCTTTTTATCAGTGTCCTCCTTTGTAAAGGTCCAAGAAATAAATTCATCAGCTCTAGCAGCAATGGTGGGGATGGTAGTAAAGACATGTGAAAGAGTTTCTCCAGATAGAAAAAGCAAAGTTGTGATACTACTTTGAAGGGTTCATTCCGACTCTAATAAAGCTTAGAATGATGTAATGGTTTGAGTATTAGACTATGATTCTCGAGGCCAGTCTTCAAATCCTCACTCAACCATGAAGCCTAACAGAGAGGTCTTGGGCAAGTCACATCATCTCAGCCATAGAATAAGGCAAAGACAAACTCTCTCTGAACAAATTTGCCAGCAAGCCTGTGTTAGGTTTGCCTTCAGGTAACCATATTTTGGAAATGATGTGAAGGCACACAACAACAAATTGTTATTGCAAATCATCATACTCATAGCAGTACCAATGTTTTGAGATTTCTCATCCCTTAATTCACTTATTCCCACCAGTCACCATCAGCCATAGCTACCATTTTACAGCCTTGAGATCATTTTTATAGATTGCCCCCAAGCAGGATTACTGCAGACTTATAATAGTTGCTCTCACATACTTCCCTATAACACCTGCAACCTCCATAGATATCATGATGAGGAGCATGGTGATTACTTAGCAAAAGGTGCTCTAGGATGTTATGCCATGATACATAATTCTGAGAGCAATGATGCTTTGACTCCTCATGTTTAGAAATATAGCCTGGAGTATCTTGGGTGCAATGGGGCGTAAGGTTGTTTCATGTGGAAACCAAAAATGTAAAGTGTAATGAGCATAAATCAGTAAATAGATCACCTTATTTTTATTTTATTAATATATTTATATCCCATCCTGTAACTGAAGATCTCAAGACTTGTTGTCGTGTGGCTTCAAGTCATTTTCAAGTCATGGAGATCCTATCATGGAAATCCTATCATGTTCTATCTGTCTTTGTCCCATCCAAAAATAGCATTGAATGTTTGCTGTGTATGTGTACTGTGATCTGCCTGAGTCCCCTTCGAGGTGAGAAGGACAGAAATAAAGTGTTGTTGTTGTTGTTGTTGTTGTTGTTGTTATTATTATTATTATTATTATTATTATTATTATTATTATTATTTTCTTGGCAGAATTTTTCAGCGGGAGGCTGTCCTTGCCTTCTTCCAAGGCTGAGAGAATATAACTTAATGCCTTATCACTTTGTTTTTCTCCACTTCTCGGTGCTGCCAGCACGAAGTCCTCCAGAGCCCATCAAATAACACAAAACTACTTCTGGTGGGACTGCGTTGGTCTCCATGCCGGCAGCTTGCTGGCATCACCAAGAAGCATAGGGCAGAGGAGTCGGCCTCATACAAGACGCTGGGAGGAAGTGGGAGGAAGCCAGGGACAGCATAGAAACATTGTGGATAGGATTTTATGACCACCAACAGTAAGGGGACAAAGCTTTATGCTGCCCCATAATTTCCCCTGCTGTCTCCCAGCTTCTCAACTTCCACACAATGTCTAAATGTTTTAATGTTTTATGGCTCTGTCCGACAATTTGTATAGTTTTAATGGTTTTTAATTTATAGCTATGTGTTATCGTTTTAGCTGTAATGTGTTGTTTTATATGTATGTGAGGCATTGAATTTTTGCCATTGATTATGTTGGAAACCGCTTTGAGTCCCCCTAGAGGTGAGAAAAGTGATATGGAAATACAATAAATAAATAATAAATGTATTTATTTATCATATCAGGAATGAACCAAGGGTTTAATTGTACTGTATTTTAAAAAATCACAAAGTTAAAAACTTGGTATTATAGTTAAATGTCTTTTTACCAATAAATAAATGTGATGAGGTCCTGACCTAAGGTCATCTAGTGGGTTTCCGTGGCCAGTTGAGAATCAAATCCCTTATCTCCCAGTCTCCTTGTCCAACACTAAAATGACTACACCATAAATAATAATAATAAAATAATAATAAATAATAATAAAAACCAACAGAATCATTTTAAAACCATTGAGGAGGAGAAGAAGAAGAATTTTGAAATATATGAATCTATTTCAATATGACATGGAATCTATTGACCAGCTGTTCTCGTAATCCCTATGTAGCATTTTAAGAGGGTTAGAGTTCCCACCAGGATGAAAGTGTTGAGAAATCACCTTCCACAAGTCCATCTTCACACACACTTAAATCTGAATCAGAATCATTATGTCCCTCTGCATCATAGTACATTGTGAAAAGTCACATCAAAAACTGGTAGAAGTTCTTTTGTTTTAAAAGTTGGAAATTTTATGCGATCTCTAAAGACTTGTAATTATTATTATTTTTTTGCGGTGGGTCCATCTGAATGATGATGATGATGATGATGATGATGATGATGATGATTGCTACTATGGTCTGTTGTTTCACTAAGGTTTCAAAAATTGTTACCATTTTTTTAAAAACAGGAGCAACAACGTACTAAGTGTGGTTTGTTTGATTGATAGGCACTGTTGCAGTTGTGTTCCTGCAGTACAGCAATATTGGCTGTCTCCTTTCATCATCGCAAAACTTCTCACTGAAGGAAAATTCAGAGCATGGAGAAACCGTAGGCTCATCCGTTATAGCTGTCACAATTAGCTCCACTCCACCTCGGCTCTATCCAGCTGAGGAAATAACATTTACTTTAAGGCATGCACAGGTAAGCTTCTTTTTAAATCATTCCTTGATTAAAAGTAAGCCAGTAATTATTTTGTAACATGTAAGAAAGTGTGTGTTCATTCACTGGCAGTTCACTCATAGCTATGTTGTTTGCTGATATGGGTATAATACAATCAGAGGGGAAATTACAACCCTGAGTTCAGCACAGTAAGCGCAAAGGCAGGGAAGTGTGTTACCACTGCAAAGTGTTGATAGGAAGTGACAAGAATAATAACTTCATGTTGGTTTTATTACACATCTGTCAATAATTTGTTAGTGCAGGCCAAGCTTCCTCCTCACCTATCAGCATGCTTCAGTTATAAATGTTCCTCGTTTTGCCTAGAAAGGTAAAGCTGTAAAGATACTTTGAGCAGGGTGTTAAAGTGAATGCTCCTTCCACACAGAAGTCCATGGATTTCATAGAATCATAGAGTTGGAAGAGACCTCATGGGCCATCCAGTCGAACCCCCTGCCTAGAACCGGGAATATTGCATTCAAAGCACCCCTGACAGATGGCCAACCAGTCTCTGTTTAAAAGCTTCCAAAAAAGGAGCCTCCACCACACTCTGGGGCTGAGAGTTCCACTGCTGAACGGCTCTCACAGTCAGGAAGTTCTTCCTCATGTTCAGATGGAATCTCCTTTCTTGTAGTTTGAAGCCATTGTTCCTGTCCTAGTCTCCAGGGAAGCAGAAAACAAGCTTTCTCAATCCTCCCTGTGACTTCCTCTCACATATTTATACATGGCTATCATATCTCCTCTCAGCCTTCTTTCTTCAGGCTAAACATGCCCAGCTCTTTAAGCCACTCTTCATAGGGCTTGTTCTCCAGACCCTTGATCATTTTAGTTGTTCATTCCAGCTTGTCAAAATCTCTCTTCAATTGTGGTGCCCAGAATTGGACACAATATTCCAGGTGTGGTCTAACCAAGGCAGAATAGAGGGGTAGCATTACTTCCCTAGATCTAGACACTATGCTCCTATTGATGCAGGCCAAAATCCCATTGGCTTTTTTGCCGCCACATCACATTGTTGGCTCATGTTTAACTTGTTGTCCACGAGAACTCCAAGATCTTTTTCACATGTACTGCTCTCGAGCCAGGCATTGTCCCCCATTCTGTATCTTTGCATTTCGTTTTTTCTGCCTAAGTGGAGTATCTTGCATTTGTCACTGTTGAACTTCATTTTGCTAGTTTTGGCCCATCTCTCTCTAATCTGTCAAGATCGTTTTGAATCCTGCTCCTGTCCTCTGGAGTATTGGCTATCCCTCCCAATTTGGTGTCGTCTGCAAACATTGATGATCCTGCCTTCTAGCCCTACATCTAAGTCATTAATAAAGATGTTGAACAGGACCGGGCCCAGGACAGAACCCTGCGGCACTCCACTCATCACTTCTTTCCAGGATGAAGAGGAAGCATTGGCGAGCACTCTCTGGGTTCGTCCATTTAACCAATTACAGATCCACCTCACCGTAGTTTTGCCTAGCCCACATTGGACTAGTTTGTTAGGTACGCTACATCCATGGCATTCCCCGCATCTACCCAGCTTGTAACTCTATCAAAAAAGAGATCAGATTAGTCTGGCATGACTTGTTTTTGATAAATCCATGTTGACTATTAGCAATGACCACATTTGTTTCTAAGTGTTTGCAGACCACTTCCTTAACAATCTTTTCCAGAATCTTGCCTGGTATTGACGTGAGGCTGACTGGACGGTAATTGTTTGGGTCATCCTTTTTTCCCTTCTTGAAGATTGGGACCACATTGGCCCTCCTCCAATCTGCTGGAACTTCTCCCGTTCTCCAAGAACTCTCAAAGATGGTTGCCAATGGTTCTGAAATGACTTCCGCTAGTTCCTTCAATACTCTTGGGTGTAGTTGATTGGCCCTGGGGACTTGAACTCATTAAGAGTGGCCAGGTATTCCTGGAGGACTTGTTTCCCAACAACAACTTGGATTTGATTCCAGTTGAATAGTGAGCCCACTCTGGATTCAATCTAAATTTTCAAGAGAGGATAATGCTCACCATATTTAAGAGATCCTTTAACATATGTATTGTCGAAGGCTTTCATGGCCGGAATCACTGGGTGGTTGTAGGTTTTTTCGGGCTATATGGTCATGTTCTAGAGGCATTCTCTCCTGATGTTTCACCTGCATCTATGGCAAGCATCCTCAGAGGTAGTGAGGTCTGAGGATGACTGTTAGCCCACCAAGCTTCATAACATTTGGATCATCCCCTGATTTTAGGATATTTTTTTTAAAGAAATAAAATCTCCTTAAAAAAAAAATCCCTAAAGTATCCCACCACTGGCCCCACACTGTAACTTCTCCAGGAGCAGCAGCAGGACACCATTCCTTCCTGCCATGTGTCAAAGATGCACTTCCACATCACACAGCCCAGTGCCCCACTATTATACTTTCTTCTTTACTAATTAAAAAGAAAAAGCAAGCAACTTCTTCCAGAGCTTTTGCATTTCTTGTTTGCACTTTCCCAACTCCTAGTTCCACAAAATAAAAATAATCAAGCAACTAAAGGAAAATAAAGGAAAATCAAAAAGATTCAATGCTAGAGATAGACCAAGCCAAGCCAAGCCAAAAAAAAAAAATACAGCTGGGAGCGAGCAGCAAGGCAATCGGACTGAAGAACCTTTTTAGAGCCAGGACACAACTGAGAGCAATGAAGGCACTCACCCCATTAAATAGACACTTTTGTGTAAGACATGTCATGGCGTTCGTCTATTCTGATTGGCCCAACACACAGGGCTCACAGGGAAACTCCATGCAAGCACGCTGCAGCCTCTTTGCACAACATGTGATGCCAAATAGCAGAGGAGAAGTCATGACCAGCTGCCGCATGGCCCGTTTCAGCCAGAAAAAAAACATGGCGGCTAAGCCAGTCGCATCCCAGCAAAATGACCCAGAAGAATACCACAGTCAATGATATTGAAAGCTGCTGAGAGGTCCAGAACAACCAATAAGGACACACTTCCCCTTCTAGCTCTCTTCATTGGACATCCACCAAGGTGACCAAAGCTGTCTCTGTTCCACAGCCAGGCCTGAATCCAGAGTGAAATGGATTTAGATAAACCCAATGGAACCAGAAATATACTCTTGCTTTTCAACTGGAGAAAATCATAACCATCCCCCTTTTCGAGCCAGCCATGAAACCTCACAAGATTTGGGAGTTGTTGAACTTCCTGGCAGATTCAATCACTGCTCCTATATAAAGCCAGAATTCGTGAAGGTTTGGTGACTGAGCCCACCTAAAGGGCAGTGGGCCTAAGGGGCAGGTGGTGGAATTTGGATCTAGAAAAATGATTCACAACCTTTGGTCCTCCAGGTCTTTTGGACGTCAGTTCCCACAATGCCTAACAGCTGGTAAGCTGGTTGGGATTTTTGAGAGTTGAAGTTCAGAAAAACTGGAGGACCAAAGGTTGGGAACCACTGATCTAAAGGGATCTGACAGGAGTTGTAGGGCCCAAACTCTGCTTATATTTCCTTGTAGGCTGTGTTAAAGCCATCCCAGAAGTTGCAGAGATAGTATTGTCCTTATTTAGAGAAGGTATATCTCCAGTTGTAGCAGATCTGCCCTACATTTTTATGGAATTGAATAAAAATATTGTGAATTTGAATTCATCTTAATGCCTTGTTCCTTTATTCTGAGGCTTGGTAGAGGGTTGCTGGGGAAAACAAAACAAACAAATTACAATAAATTACAAATATATTTTCAAAATGCAGTGATAGTTTATTTATACAAATCAGAGAGAACATGTGTAAAGTAGGAAAAAGCAGATGTACAATTCCCTCTCTTTAATTAGTATGCATTTTTACTTATCTTGTTCCATCTTTCTGTTTGATTTTCTTTGCTTTTATTCATGTGCTCCTCCTTAATCTGAATTATGAACAGCAAAAGGTTTTGCAGTTTCTATATTGAAAAATGCATGATGAATTGCCTTAGCTAATGTGACAGATATTTCTTTTTGAGCAATTTTGTGCCATTTGCTATCCATAAAACATTTTGTTTCTGTTCCAGTCTGTAGACAAAAAAGATATTAAGTGTGCATTTTGGAATTATTCAGAAGATACAATGGAAGGAAACTGGTTGACAGAAGGATGCAAGCGGACACATTTCAATACCACTCATACCTCATGCAGATGTAATCATCTTACTCATTTTGCTGTTTTGATGTCCTCAAACAATTCTAAAGTTGTAAGTGAATTTCAAAAATGCTGTTTATTCCGTTCTTATGGTAGTTTACACCACCACTTAAAGTGTATGATCTTTCCCCTGGTGCAGTTAAATCATTATTTTCTTCTCCATCACTTTTTCCTCACAGAGTCAATACACAATGGAATAAATCTTCAGCATTAGGTACTTTCATGGTTACATTGTCCCTGAAGTTTACACTGCCAATATTTCTAAATAAACCATTAGAACAATATGATGCACATTTTCTCTCTTACATTCACTGCTGCTGATTCTATGGCTCAAGTAATCCTTTCACCTGTATTTCTTAATTGTATTAAATGACAGTAGGGCACTCTTCAATGCACAGAGCGCCTATTAGTTATAATTCATCCTTGTCAATATTACCAACAGTCTGTGGGGGCAACTCTACCATTAGGCAAAGTGTGGTGTTCATCTCAGGCAGCAAATACTGTAGAGTTTAGGGATTGGTGAGATGTAGTGTTGTGGGTCGGAGTTGTGGGTATCATATTGACTAGGTTGCTAAAGATGTCCTAGTTAGCTAGAGTTCTGAGGAATACAACCCCATTGTCAGTATTGATCAAGTTTGAAGTATTACTCTAATTTGTTTCTTGTACAAAGGATCAAAGGTATCATCATTTCATTATTACCCCATGTAAGTAAAATATTGCGGGCCAACCCTGAGCTTTATATGTCTGCAGTTCTCCTTTTGCAAGCAGAATGGGACAAAGAGATAAAAAGAGGAACAGATGAAGACAGTAGTCTACACGCTTTCTTTCAGTTGTTGGAAAATAATGTTTGTATCTTTCCATACATCCAAAGATTTCAGGGTAGTATACAATTAAATCATTTTGAACCTATTGAGGTGCTTGAAGGGATGGGATGGTGCATTTTGTGCACTGATTTTAGGGCGAAGTTAGCCTAGAAATCACACATTTTAAAAAGTGCAAGATGTGAAGGGTTTTGAGACAGTGATGGAGTTTGGGGGTCACAGAAATGAGGTCCAGAAGCTATAGGTGGCTCAGTACCCATACACTGTCCACAGCTACTGTGAAGGGAGAAGATTCTACAGTCAGGGTGTTGCAACAGAAATACTTTTTCCATCATACAAAATGTATCCTCTCCACTCGTGAAACATAAAGGCAACTTTTCTAGGAGTACTTCATCTTTGGGCAGGTATATACAGTGTTCATCCATAATGCTTTATATCTTATCTTTTCATTCATCCGCCATTTTCACATGAAAATTCCATCAAACATATATGTGTATAATAAAACATGTTTTCTTTCAAAATATTCATGTTAAAATGCAGTTATGAAGAGAGAAAAATCTCAGGCAGTAGATCACTAAGTTTTGATATGAATACAACTTCAGAAAGTCCATACCAATTTATGGCCAGAACTCTTCTGACATACAAACATTCCTCCTCCTCTTCCCTAATTTTCCATAACTTTGAGTACATATTGACTGAAAGAAGGCAAATTGAAACCCTATCCATGCTGCATGTAGCACAGAATGTGGCGAAGACTCTTTCAATGGTAATATTGCCTTTAATAGCCCCTCCCCCAAGGCATGAGGATTTTTTTTCAGCAAAAAAATAATTATGGTACATAGGTCATTTTTGCCATGCACTGAGGTTTTCCCACTTCTGCTCTGATTAAGTCTATCCATCTGTAAAGAGGTATTTCTCTTTTACAATATGTTCCACCTCGTCAAGCATTATCACATTTTCTAGTGAGTCATATCATCTCATGATGAATACAAAGGAAAAAAAGCCTTAGTTTAAGTAATTTTGGCTTCTGAGGAGAGTCCATGTTTCAGCATTTTCCTTTTAACTCCCACTGTGCTCAGCAGTTTTGTTTATTTGCACAATAATGTTGTATTTTCTTCAAAATTCAATATTTTCCCATTAAAACATATAGTGTCTTTTAAAAGTCATGTTTTTGCAAAAAGCACCAAAAATAGAAAAAAAGAAAAATACATTAAAACTCCCATAATCTTATTGAGTAGGAAAAAAATCTAATCTAATAAGTACTTACATACCTAGTGTACATGCATATACATTCCAGAAAGTCTGTTTTAGATCCACCCAATATTGTAGTGCAATTCCTCACCAGCTCTCCCAAGCATTGGCATTGTGATGAGTCATAAGAGTTGCTTGGGAGAAAACTCTATCAAGTCTTATAAGAAGATCATTAGGTATGTGGCATCCTTGGTGGTGGCAGATCCTTTATTTAACAGATCTGTCTGACCATAATTTTGTAGAAATGAGGGTAAGACAGCATGTTAGAGACAGACCTTGCCTGGTGACTTAACTTAACTGGATAAGGGTGAGAAGGAGCACTACATTTTCTAGAGACCTGCTGGAAAATTAGGCATGGAGAAACATGGAGGTAGTCATGAGAAATTAACCAACCCTGATAAAGCAGACTATTTTCCTGTCTTCCCTTTAATTAAAAAAATATGGAAACTATGGAAATAGTATTTTTGTTGTTCATTCGTTCAGTCATCTCCGACTCTTCGTGACCTCATGGACCAGCCCACGCCAGAGCTCCCTGTCAGCCGTCACTACCCCCAGCTCCTTCAAGTTCAGTCCAGTCACTTCAAGGATGCCATACATCCATCTTGCCCTTGGTCGGCCAATCTTCCTTTTACCTTCTACTTTCCCCAGCATAATTGTCTTCTCTAGGCTTTGCTGTCTCCTCATGATGTGGCCAAAGTACTTCAACTTTGTCTCTAGTATCCTTCCCTCCAATGAGCAGTCGGGCTTTATTTCCTGAAGGATGGACTGGTTGGATCTTCTCGCAGTCCAAGGCACTCTCAGAACTTTCCTCCAACACCAAAAGCATCTATCTTCCTTCGCTCAGCCTTCCCTAAGGTCCAGCTCTCACATCCGTAGGTTACTACAGGGAATACCATGGCTTTGACTAGGCGGATCTTTGTTGCCAGTGTGATGTCTCAGCTCTTTACTATTTTATTGAGATTGGACATTGCTCTCCTCCCAAGAAGTAAGTGTCTTCTGATTTCCTGGCCACAGTCTGCATCTGCAGTAATCTTTGCACCCAGAAATACAAAGTCTGTCACGGCCTCCACATTTTCTCCCTCTATTTTCCAGCTGTCAATCATTCTTGTTGCCATCATCTTGTTGTTTTTTTTATGTTTAGCTGCAACCCGGCTTTTGCGCTTTCTTCTTTCACCTTGATTAGAAGGCTCCTCAGCTCCTCCTCGCTTTCGGCCATCAGTGGTGTCATCTGCATATCTAAGGTTGTTAATGTTTCTTCCAGCAGTTTTCACCCCAGCTTTGCATTCATCAAGCCCCGCACATCGCATGATGTGTTCTACATACAAGTTAAAAAGGTTGGGTGAGAGTATGCAGCCTTGCCGTACGCCTTTCCCAATCTTGAACCAGTCTGTTGTTCCGTGGTCAGTTCTGACTGTTGCTACTTGGTCCTTGTACAGATTCCTCAGGAGAGAGACAAGGTGGCTTGGTATGCCCATCCCACCAAGAACTTGCCACAATTTATTATGATCCACACAGTCAAAGGCTTTAGAATAGTCAATGAAGCAGAAGCAGATGTTTTTCTGAAACTCCCTGCCCTTTAAATCAGTTGAAAACAGTTTTTAAAAGTACTTGTCTTTGGAAAATCCTGTGATGAAGAGGATATTATACAGACAAAAAATATTTTCAATTCAAAACTTATTTGAAATGAAAAAGTAATGGGATGTTTTTTGCACAGAAAAATAATGGCAATTTTCTGTGCAAAAAACATTTTTTTGTGCAGAAAGCAACACTGATTTGATGGTTTCAAATTACAAGCACAGGAAGACTACCTAAACATTAGGAAGTATTTCTTTAGTGTATTCCTCAACAATGGAATAAAAATACCCTTAGAAGGTTGTGATCTCTCTTTCTTTGAATGTCTTCAACCTGAGGTTGGATTGGCATCTTTCAGGAGTGCACATGTATTCCTGTTGGACAGGGGCTATTCTACATGGCCTTTCTGGTCTTTTCTAACTCCTTGACTTTATGATAAATTCTATGATTTCTGCATAGAAATATTTTCGATGGATAGGTGTTGTTTTCTGGGTGGAAAATGCAGTTTTCCACTCATGCATTTTTCTCCTAATAAATACCAATAGTCTTTGAAAACTGTGATTTTTCACAACTTTCACACAGCCAAGAGAATGCTACAAAAATCCTGTCTGCAAAAATGAAATTTATAAAGATTTAAATCCTTACATAGATGGCATTTGATCTATAGCAAATACCTTTTGACTCACCAGAGGTTCAATGCTGATCAAGTTTAAATTTGAATAGAATGCTGTCTTCTTTCATACAACAATTGATATGTAACCTATTGAGAAACATGACTAAGCTTTCTGTTATGATTTTTCAGTCCATTTGTTAAGAAAGAAAATATTACTGACATCATTTATCCATTTGTAATGTGTTCTTGCCCATAATTTTGAATAGAATTCTATACCATAAAGAAAACAGAAGATGTTTGAGTGAAAGGGAGCAAGAGGCAAGATGAAATCTTCAGAATTATTGAGCTGCTTCTGAGTCATTCTGTTTAACACATTCTATTCTAATTTTCCCTCTAGAACAACAAGGACCACATTCTTACAAGAATAACTGAACTTGGAATAATTATCTCATTGATTTGCCTCTCCATATGCATTTTCACATTCTGGTTCTTCAGTGAAATTCAAAGTACAAGAACAACAATTCATAAAAACCTCTGTTGCAGCCTTTTCCTGGCAGAGCTTATTTTTCTTGTTGGAATTAACATGAGCAATAATAAGGTATGTAGCCTTTCCTTATCATTTCTTCATTTTCAATATGAAAGCAAATACGCACTCTAAAGTGCCTTTTTCAAAAGTATGTGTAGCATTTCCCAGTCTTAATATGAATGTTGACATTTGAGTTTACACTCGACTAGCTGTGAATATAAAATTCTCATTTAAGAATTCCAGCCAACCCTGTTCATAAGGGTAAGCCCCATTAAAGAGACTAATGGGATCTTCTGTCAATGATCTACAGTGAGATCAGGGATTTTAAGTAAGCAAAATGGAGGCAGTTTCCACTAATATTTATTGGATATTACACTGGTAATATCCAATAAATATTAGTGGGAGTTATGCCAAACCATTTGTCTTTCTCACCTTCTTGCATAGATAAAAATGATGCCTGCATACCTCCCTTTGGGGAAGTAGAATTTATGCAGGGTTCACTCTGTTAGGTGAAAAACAGATTAGTCATATGCTATTTATACCATCAGTACTGTCTGTTTATATATTTTATGCAAGTATATGTATATTGGCTACAGAAATGTGTATGTAGGTTATCAAATGAAATGTGTTAAATGTTTTCCCTTCTCCTTATTGAAAAAGAATCGGGGATAGGGTGTTTTTGAACTGATACAAATATTCAGGGAGAAAGTATTTTATCTCCACTACGATAACATTTTTTACCTTGCAATGCAATATATGAGGACTTTCATGTTATCTGCTTACACTTTTTTTTCTCCTTGCCCTTTTAGCTATTCTGTTCTATCACTGCTGGATTACTCCATTATTTCCTATTAGCTGCCTTTGCATGGATGTGTATCGAAGGTATTCACCTGTACCTTATAGTTGTTGGCGTTATCTACAACAAGGGATTCCTGCATAAGAATTTCTATATCTTTGGCTATGTCAGCCCAGCAGTGGTGGTTGGCATTTCTGCTGCACTGGGATACAAATACTATGGAACATCTGATGTGTAGGTCACTGTTTATATGTTGGTTTTACTTATGGATAATTTTGCCGTAGCCTTTTGTTACTGCATCAGCCCACTATATTATAATAAACATAAAAATTACATTAATTCATTCATTTATTGTTCCGCCTTTTTCCAAGAGGTGTCTTGAAACAAGAAAAAGTTAAAAATCAGATGATAAATTAAAACACAAGTAAACAAGTTAATATATTGTTAATTTAGTTAATTGCCATTGACTTATAATAAACATATTAAAATGTGATTGAATTGTAATAAACTTTTAAAAACGTAACAACAAATTTAAAAATACAGTGCAACATACAAATAACTCCCTTAAACCAACTAATTTTTAAATGCCCCCCAGACAAAGGGGACTAGAGAGGGGTCCAGCCTAGATTCCCAAAGCTACACATTTGGTTTTAAACATTTTTTGGTCCTTTTGGCATTCTATTAGATGTCTCCTTGTCCTAGGAGAACTTTATCCTCTGTAACCTTTGATAATCCAGAAAATAAGTCTAATAATTTCATTCAATAACAGAATAACAGAATACCATAAATGTGAGAACTTACAGCAGGCAATGGCTGTGTTTGTTTATTTGTTTATGTTTATATAAACAAAAAACATTCCCTCCTACATACTTACTCCTACATACTTACTACGTACTCATGGAAATATATATAATCCTCTTCCTCTTCATTCCATCTTCACTGTAGCTGAGAGACAGTGACTGACCTGAGATCTGTGGTTTTGTAGAAAATAGCATTTTATAGTGGTTTGAATGTCAAACTTGGGGCACATCTACACTGACTCATTATCCCAAAAGCAGTGGAAATCAGCTCTGCGGTGACTAAATGATGCACAGAGCTGATTTGGGTGAACGAAGCCTTGAACTGCATTAACTAAAGTTGTGAGTTACTCCAAATTCTCCTACCAAATCTAGAGTAAACTGCAACTTTGGATGTATGTAAGAAGTTGAGTTGGGCATCTACAGACATGGCATGGCACACAACACAACCCTCCCATTCTCATCATTGCAGTGACTGGAAGGTGCGAAATAGCTAACGTCATTCACTCATTGCCTGGAGTGACATATCCAGGGCAATGTGATTGAAGAAGCAAGGGGAAAAGGAAGGGGCGATTCCTCCTCTTCCCTCTCCGCCTTCCTGTGTCTGGTGCCCTGGCCAACATCACTCTAGGTAATGAGGCACTGACACTAGCCATGTCACACCTGGTGGCTGATGCAAGGACAAGTAACCTCTCTATACCCCCAGGGATGGTAAGTGTGACTTGCAGCACTGAATCTGGCTCCATGCTGCTGGGTGATCAGCACTCCCTCCCACTTCCACAGTGACCAGGCGGTTGCCAGTCAAAACCAACCCAGAACTGGTCCACAAGTTTCCACTCTGTGCAGAGCTGAATGAGGGCACTGAAAGATCAGGATTCAAATCACCATGGAAAGGTATAGGATGACCTTGGACAAATCATAACCTTTCAGCCTCAGTGGAAGACAAAGACAAACTTCTCTGAACAAATTCTAGCAAGAAACTCCTGTAATAGGTTCATCTTCAGCACACCATGTCAGAAATGACTTGCAAGCACAGAACAAGAAGAAGAACCATCCCACCCCATTGGCTCTATACCTTTTGGAGTCAGTTTTCCGTATCACCCAATTCCCAGGTGAAATAACAATCTGTAAACATATATCATAACATTATATTATTTTAACTTTTCAGGTGTTGGCTCAGCACAAAGAACAACTTCATATGGAGTTTTATAGGACCAGCATGTCTAATAATTCTTGTAAGTATCCTTCTTATTGTCTGTATCAGGGTACATAAAATTGACAATGAAAGGTGTGTGTGATAAGCACTAATCCATTGTGAGCCACATGTAAGTCCCGATTATATACCCAAATTAACAATTTTAGATGTTTTTAAATAACCACTCTAAAAGATTTTATCCATTACATGCCTAAGTACTTTGCTTGTCTCAAAGACATATGTTTGATTAGCTAATATTTTAGAGGAAAAGCTGTTTCTTTCAACCTGATGGCTTGAGGGAACAGAATTCTCTGTAGCAATTCTGGTGTATAAAATGTAGCATCTTTACATGTTAGTGATATCTCTACAGAACTCAGCAGGAGGCATACACAGACAAGATGCCAGGAGACAGATAATCTGGTATTTCAAATGCCGAGTTACTTAATCTTTTATCTGTGATCGGTCATCTTTGAAGATTAGGCTGTCATCTTTATGATTTTATCATTCTCTTGTACCCTGCCATCATCAAGACTATTTTGAACAAAATTGCAACATCAGAGACAAGAACCCGCTATTTCACATGGGCAGGCAGGTTGAGAATTGATAGCCTCGATTTCTACTGTGGAAGGAGACTGTTAATTCCTATTGGACAATTTTCGAGGCTTGATCTTTTAGAAACATTGTGTCCTGTTAAAAGGGAAAAAGTGCCAGGGTACATGAAGGGATTTCCTAAGTATCGCTAAGTTACACACATAAATACTGATTGGGATCAAGTAAGAAATGCTGGAAGAGCAGGGACCTTGATATAGTGGATGATATGAGTAGGCAACCATGCCATAACTTTTGATCCTTACTTAAGAATGTACATCAGGTTTGGAGGAAAACCAAGTTGAATTGAGCCGATGCAGACTGGCACTTTCTGAATGAAGTGAACTTCCACTAAAGGTGCCAAAATTGAACTTAGAACATAGGTGGAGCCTCATGCAGGATGTGGAATTTAGATAGGCCAAGGATAAAGCAATCAAACTGCCTAATTTGGGCCATTTTAGAGGAAAAGGTTTGTGACTGACAGTTCAACTTTCAAATCTTTGGTCACATTTTACAAAGGGTTTTTTTTTTTCAAAAACCATTCTTTAGTGGAGAGATTTTGACTTTAATACAATGTTCCAATCTCTTTCACTTTACTGAAGACAAATAAGAATGAATTGAACAATAACTTGTTTACACTTTTTCTCTCATATGGTTATTACTTCTGTATGGTTCCATAATAAGAGTATGGCAGTAGTGTAGAATGGCAATTACAGATGAACAAATGTAGAAGTTATTTTTTGTGCCATAGACTCAGCTTTAAAAAAGGCATTAACTTTATTTTCAAGCATTATAGCTCCTTATTCATTGTATGTGTACTTCTGAAATTTTGAAGCTTTTTAGCCTGAAAATGCCTATATGACATATGCCATTGCAAAGTAGAGGACAGGGAATAAATTGCTTTTCCACTGCACAAAAACCCATTGTTACTCTCCTTCTGAAACCATTTCTTCCCAAGGGCCATTTTAGATACTGTGTATTTATATTTACAAAGAACCTAATGCAGATTCAAATTCTGACCAATGTTTATTTACTTCTTCCACAGCTAATTTCATTTGGGTGTGTGTGTGTGTGTGTGTGTGTGTGTGTGTGTGTGTGTGTGTGTGTGTGTGTGTGTTGGGGCTGCTCTAGTAAAGAAACAACTGGGAGAGAAACACTTTTTCTAGAAAACAGCTAGAAGAACCCAAAAGAGGATTTCAGTGAATCCTCAATGGCAAATTGTGGTCAGATATATTTTTCCAGTTTGTGATAGCTCAGTATATGATTCCCCCCCCCTGAAATTTGCCCATGCACTTAGGCAAAAAAAAAAAGGAAATATACAACTATAGGGAAGGTAGTAATACCTACCTTGGAAACAGTACCTGTGGATTTAGAAGTCTTAGTAGACCTCAAGCTAAACATGAGTGCAATGCGGCAGCTAAATAACCAATACAATTTTAAGCTGCTTCAATAGAAATATAGTGTCATATTCTATTCTGCTTTGGTCAAACCTCACCTGCAATTCTGTGTCTGTTTTGGGCACCACAATTCAAGGAGGATACCGACAACCTGGAATGTGTCTCAAGAAGGATGACTAATGGTCAAAGGTCTGGAGAACCAAGCCTTATGAGGAGCAACTTAGGGAGCTGGATATTTTCGCTTGGTAAAGAGAATGGTAAAAGGAGACATGATAGACATATTTAAATATTTTGAAGGATGTCATATTGAGAAGGGTGCAAACTTGCTTTCTGTTGTTCTAGAGACTAAGACACAGACCAACAGATTCAAATTACACTAAAAGAGATTCCACCTAAATATTATGAAGAACTTCCTAATGGAAGGATCTATTTAGCAGTAGAATATGCTGCCTTGGAATGTGGTGGACTCTCCTTCTCTGGGGGCTTTTAAACAGAGGCTGAAGGTCCATCTGTCATGACTGCTTTGATTGTGTGTTCCAGCATGTGGATCGCTGGGCTGCAGAGCCTCAACTCTATGATTCTATGTGGATTCTACTAACCACAGTCATATGAATTTGTACTTTTATGTCTTGAAGTATGGGAGCTATTTCCTCAATTTACCCCACTTTCATGGAAGGTGCTTTATTATAGCTGCAGTTTTTCCATATTCCAGAGCTAACTTCTTTATGTTGCCTAGAACTTAATTGTCCCAAACCATCCAAGAAACCATCTGCTCTGTGCTTAAAAGAGTTTTGAGAAATAAAGTCAGATTCTTCTTTGTAAGATGGCCTCTTAGCACAATAATAGTGAAGGCCTTCATGAGTGAATTTCCCCTCATATCCCCCATCACAGTAAAACAGCAGGTAGAAGGACAACTGAAACCTTTAAAATGAATCTGTAAATGACAACAGTTTTCAAGAAGTATGCTTTATCCCAAGCCTCTGGTTAAAAAGAAACAATTTTATAGATTTTTTTCAAAACAGATCAACTACTTCTATAACAAAAAAACCATGCTGTAGCTTTACTTATTTCTTAGGAAAAGTACATCATTTCTGCAAAGGAAAATATATCAGAAAGAATCCAAGATCTACACAGAGTGTTATCAAGGGAGTGGGCAATAGTTATGCCTAGTAGGACTTTCGCCTTTTTACTTACTAAGCAAACTGCTTCTAAAATTCCTTTTTGTTTTTTTTTTCAAAACAATGCTTTGTATTGGAGCATAGCTATATAATTTTTGAGAAACATAAAGTTCTAATTTACTTTGGGGCTGTCAGGAAATGATGATTTCAGGTTCCTGGAACAGCAAAACTCCTCCCATGATCCACACAATTTCTACTTCTTGATTTATAAAAGGGAGTTCTAAATGTTCCAAAGGCACCAGATCTTATCTGACCTTGGAATCTAAGCAGGGTAATTCCTGATTAATACTTGAGTGGAAATATCCAATCAGTACCAGGTGTTGTAGGCTGGATTTCAGAAAAAGGAACACCATTAAGAAATCCTTCCTATAAGTCACATCTATATAGGCAGTATAATCCAGATGGAAGCTGGATTAAGGTTGGTGAGGGGGCTCCCTCAATGCAATTTCCAGTTCCCATCTAGCTGGAAACAGCATGTTAAGAAAAACCCACTGGAAATTCTGGATCAAATGAATTGAGTATGAACAGTGCAGTGCTGCAACGTGGAATAAGTATTCGGAGCACTTGTCAGGACAAGGTGAAAATTTTAGGAATCACAGACAAAAACCAGATCAACAGCTGTCTGTGACAGAAGGAAATGTAAACAAATTCCTCCTCCAGCAAGAAAGGTTCAGCATTCCCAGGGGAATGCTAAATTGCTCTTTATTATCTGGCTCTCCTGCAAAGACTGTTGTTGATCAGCACATTTGCTGGAGGAGCTGGGTGGGGATTAATCCTGTGTTTGGATTGATCCAGATCATTGGAACTTTATGGACTTCATAGGAGCTTGCAGCTGGCTCTTGGAGTACTGGTATAGGCACTCCAAAGCGAACTGGATTTCTTAAATCATCCTGATCCAGATTAAATGTCTGTGTGAAAGCAGCCTAAGGGAACCCAGTGAAATTCATAGTGTCAGCATGTCCATAGGTGGCCTGAAGGTGCCTGCAGACACTGAAAACAACTGGTGTCACTGGTTTATCTTTTCTTCAATAAGCCAGAGAACTAACGCAGAGTGTATACCAGTCTGTAATAGGTAAATAAGCCAAAGACTTCACTACGTTTAAGCATCACACTTAGCAAGCAATAATTTATTAAGCTGTTCCCATTGCAGATAGAAATGACTCAGCCACAGAAACTAGAATACTTGCTTATCCGTGTAAGCCAAATAGTATATTGGAACTTCTACTGTGTGTGTGGGAAGCAGAGAGGGTGAGGAAGAGAATGAGAGACAACAAGGGAGAGATAGCAAGGGAGGCACAGAGAGAAAGAGGGAGGGAGCACAGAAAGAGAAAAGCGGAAAGAGAGAATTTGAGGAGTTATAATGTGACATGGCTTGAAGGCTATAAGAAAATTACTAAGAACAATGTCATTACCGTAGATTGCTCCACTTACTTTGGAATACTTTTAACTGCCTTTCTGAACTTTATGTGCCTAGTTAAAATATTGGAGCTCAAATAATCTCATTTAGTACCAAGTGCTAGTTCCTTTACATGTGTTTTTTAAAATACTGCCTTTCCCTAAGATATTTACTCATTAATAATGAAGTACTATTAAAATTCTAAAGTGCATGCCACTGGCCTAATTGATCCTATCAGCCATCTTTTTAGTCTCTTGGTGAGTATGCATGAAAAGGACTGAGTCAAAAGTTTGCTAGATTGAGTTACGGGGAGAAAAAGGACTACTTGAAACCTTTGTAAAACAAGCTGCAAGCTAAAGATAATTTCTCTTTCCACTCTTTAGAATCACAACCATTATTTCTAAGGCTGCATTTCAGATTAGATCAAAGCATGCAAGGCACGCAGGGCAGGATGTTGTAATAATATGATTTTGAAATAGAA